TTTCATATAATATTCATAATTCTATCCAAAGCCTTTTATTCTCTGTGACTCACAGCAAGATTTTAAGAGAATCCTCAAAATAGAAAATTTAAGAGCTAAGGTATTAGCTTAAGATGAGTCACACTGTTCTAAATGAACTTATGTTCATCAATTCATTTAAAACTCACAACAGTCCTATGAAGTAGGGACCACTCTTAGCCTCCCATTTTGTAACTAAGATAATTGTGAGGCTTTTCCAGTAGGAAGAAGAGATGTGGGGGACAGGAGAGGAGCGGGAGTCTTTCCATCCAGGAGAGCGCTGTTCTGCTGTCTTCCCAAGGAGGCGCCCTTCGCTCTGAACTCGCTGTGAATGTGATAGACTCTGAATCACTAAGCAACTCTTTCTAGAGCTCTGAGCACATTTTTTCTGGTCTAGGAGTAATTATTTTTTTTAAGATTTTATTTGTTTGACAGAGAGAGACACAGCAAGAGAGGGAACACAAGCAGGGGGAGTGGGAGGGGGAAGCAGGCCTCCTGAGGAGCAGGGGGTCGGATGAGGCGCTCGATCCCAGGACGCTGGAATCATGACCTGAACCGAAGGCAGACGCTTAACGACTGAGCCACCCAGGCGCCCCTAGGTGTAATTATTTATTAAGAACAAAGTCTATCAGCCCAATGATTCTCTTGCCAGTTTCCTATCTGCTTTTTGGCAGAAATCTCCATCATCCCTGTTAAATAGACCTCATCTTCTCGGAGCCAGCCCTTATCAGGGCACTAGTACCAGGCATTGCACAAGTTTGGGAAACCTTCGCCCTCGTCATCCATTTTACAGATATGTGTGTGTGTGTGTGTGTGGGCGGGGGGGGGGGGGGACAGGCTGCTGGCGGGTGGGCAGACTCTCCAAAACTAATGTTTGAGCAAGGATTTCTGGCATGGTGGCCCCAGCACGCGAACCCAGGTGTTGAATGGTGGAAGAGGGAGAGTTATCTAAAAGTAGGTAAGCCTCGTAGTGGCACAGGTGACACCGATCCTCGTCAGGGCTCTGACTGCGAGGAAGAGTTAGCTGTTTCTTCTGATTAAAAGAGGAAGCAATTCTTTGCCTACGACATCAAACACCCTGGTTCGAAATTGGCGGTTAGGAATCCTGTGCGGCTTTCAAATACGAGGGTTTGTACCGGACAGGCAGGAAACAGGAGAGCAAAGTCGCTTCAACCGAGTGAACTCGCTCTGAGACCGCGAGCGTCTCCGTTGGGGGCGGGGGGAGCGCAGCGCCGGGAGGAAGGCGGAGGGAGGGGGGAGCGGCCGCTGCGGAGGGGCTCAGGGCTCCCTCCCTGCCACGGCTTCGTCAGGCTCCCCGAGCCGCGGAACCGTGACAGCAGAGGCCCCGCGTGGGGCGACTTCAGGGGGTGTCACGTTCACAGCGAGTTCAGAGCGAAGGGCGCCTCCTCGGGAAGACAGCAGAACGGCGCTCTCCTGGATGGAAAGACTCCCGCAGGAGGAGTCGAGGGGCAGAGTCGGGGGGTGGCTTCCGCCGGCCCCGGAGGAGGAGAGAGGAGGGGCGGGCTGGTCACGAGAGGCTGGGGCGGGCCACTGGCTCCCGACCACGGCGGAGGGAGGGAGGGAGCCAGGGGGCAAGCGCGGGGGAGCAGCATGGAGCCCTCCGCAGACAGGCTGGCCACCGCAGCCGCCCAGGGCCTGGCAGACGAGGTGCGGGCGCTGCTCGCGGCTGGGGTGCCGCCTAACGCGCGGAACCGCCAAGGTCGGAGCCCGATTCAGGTGGGTGAGCCGGCCTGCCGCGGGAGGAGGGGGTGGCGGGCGACTTTGGAGCACAAGCTTTGTAAGGGAGTCGGAACCAGGCCAGCGTTTCGATTCTCGGTAAAGGGGAGACTTCTTGGCGAGTTCTCAGGTGGAGTTTGGAGCCGAGACCTCCCCGTGTCCACGTCCTGGGGGCTTAGGAAGCCACGAGGAATGAGGAGGCACGTGGGGTGCAGAGCCCTAGAGTGGTGTTGGAGATCGGGCGGGGGGGGTGAACCTATTCGTATTCATACAGTTCGAGGTGTGTTCTTTATCTGATACACGGTTGCGAAAGTTTGCGGTAAAAAGCAAGATTTTAAAGAAATGGAAGGTTTGTTGGGTCCACTAGCCCGGAACTCAGATCCCCGAAGGGAGCTGATCATCTTCCTTTCTGGGGCGGGGGGTGGGGGGGGATTGCAGTGGAAACCGTCTGTGTAAATTGAATAAATATCACTTGAAATTATTCAGAAGCAACTATATATTGTTTATTTTTACTTTAACCGAGTAAAGAAAATATATGCTTGTTCTAAGAATTTAGGTAATACAGACATATGAAGAAAAACATTTGTGTGATCTTGCCTGAAATAATGTCAGTTTAGTTACCATTTTGAAGGTATCTCTTATAATTTTTGTTATTTTTAACTTGCTTGCTATAGATTTATTTGGGGCAGAGTTTTCAATTCCTCACTGTTCAAAAATGTCGTTTCTCCCCTCCTCACTCCAGTTGTGTGTGGGGGTGGGGGGGTGTTCGGCATTTGTGGTTGTTGTTTGCCTTCACTAACTTCCTAAATCCAGGCTAAAAAAACGATTTCTTCCTGGCAGTCACCACCCTAGTTTTATTCCCAATGTCCACAGTGATTTCTGATTCTGAAAAATAAAATCTATGTGAAACAAAAGCTTACTGCACAAATTCCAGCATAACAAGACAAAGGAAAGTAATTGTACCTGCCATTTCACAGATTTCACAAGTCAGTCTTCCTCTCCTGAAACTATGCTACATAGGATAAATTTTATACACTTTAAAATACTGATATAAAAGTAAAACCAAAAATGCCTTAAAACGAGATTATTTGGGATTTGAAGTGCGAAGAGATTTTGAGAGGAGAGAGGCTGTGTGATGGTAGAAGAAAAGCATGAGTCCTTTAAAAAGAATGCATGCATGATTCCTAATTTCTCTAAAATTTTGCTCAGAGACTGTGAGTTTGACCTTGAAATTCTGGAATATGTTAGAAGAGGCTTTATTTGTTTAAATACAAAAAGAAAAAAGAAAGTTGGATAATTAGTTTTAACAGTTTTTTTTTTAATAGGGAAGTAAGACCATAGAGAAAGGGGGGCATGATTTTGGTTTAGAATCCTAACCAAACTTGTGTTTAATATAAAACTAGTTTATAGAAAATTTTAATTAAAGATAATGTATTATCGAATGGATTTAAGCACTCTACAAATATTCATTTAATGGATTTTTTTTGCTTTGGATTGCTATTTAGATTTAAATATTTAAATGTTAGGTTTCCTTCCATACTTTAATACTGCAAAATGTAATGAAAACCTTTAAAACCAGTTAAATGATGAAGTACTTCATTGGATAAACACAATGTTTCATCTATTATATTTTCACCTGTATTATATATATATGTGGAAGGTGACTTCTTCTAAGAACGGGTTTTAGATATGTGTTTTCTAGCTCTGGCACTTTTGCAGTAGAGCTCCCAAAAGATTATGGTATCCTTGGGTGTGGCCCCTTTGTTCTAGAAATTGACACCATATTCTGTGAGAAGTCTTGCATAATTAAGTAAAGGTGGGAGAGCTTTCCCAGTTTTTCTTTTAAAACAGTGAATTGTTCTAATCCACTGCAATAGTTTTTATTTTTGTAGCTGCAATTTGGTTCACTGATAGTCTCCCTCTCTTTGAAAATTAAATCAGTTTCACTTTCTCCAGACAAGAATCAACCACTATAGTATAACTTATTATGTTTCCTTGGTTTCGAGAAATTAAAAAATTCATCTTCAATACAGAATGAAATGAAAAATAAGGAATTTCTCTTTATACAGTCACTGTTGTCTAGCTAATATAATGAAATAATGGTTACCCTAAAAAAGAATTGCCTGCCTTCACTATCCACCATGCAACACTCAAATTTTAAGGTTGCTGTAATTGTGGATACTATTTAAAGATTCCTCTTTGGTAATGACTTTGTTTCAAAGATATTTATGAAACAAATGAGGGGAGCACCTCCTGTTTAATGAACTCTCAGAGTGTAAACTTGGGAAGTTTCTTAGTTTCCTATTTCTGCTGTAACAAATTACCATAACTTTCGTGTCTCAAACCAACCTAAATTCATTATCTTGTAGTTCTGGAGGTCAGCAGTCTAAAATGAATCCACAGGGCTGCATTTCTTTTGGAAGTTCTAGAGGAGAATCTGTTTCCCTGTCTTTTCCAACTTCTGACCATCAACATTCCTTGGCTCATGGCCCCTGCATCTTCTCTCTGACCTCCATTCTTAGATCTTTCTTCTGTAACCTTCTTATAAGGAAACTTGTGATTACATTGGACTCCTCCTGACAATTCCCGTTAATCTCCCTCAAAATAATTTAATCACATCTGCCAAATCTCTTCTCCCATGTAAGGTAATATATTCACAGCTTTCAAGTGTGAGGTAGTAGACATCTTTGGGAGCATTATTTAGCTTACCACAAGAAGGAATTTAGGGGCTGGTTAGACAAAGCTCATTTTATACTTAAAGCGAATTTTAACATTCTGGGAGGCTAAGTGTAGATTAAAAGTTTTACAAAAATTAAAGGTTTGCTGTTTTTATTTTCACTTTTTAACAATTACCTCCTCCTGGGCTTGGATATACAGAAGAAAACCATACAAAATCTCTGGGCCTTACATAATTTTGCATCAAAATGAGGGGGGAAATACAGGAGGTTAGGCTGTAGTTCAAGCCATTTTGTCCCTCACCCTTTTGCTATTGTCTGTGCCTCTGGCAGTGTTCTGTGTGTGGCTGGAACTCTGCAAAAGTTTGGAGAATATAATGGAATTCAGTGTGTACAGAAAAATGAAATGAATAGGAGAACTGGCTAAGGGAGTTGGTAACTGAAAACAGAGAGTAACTAGACACCTGTGGCTTGCACCGGCATCTGCACGGGGTGGGGGCTTCACAAAGAGTTTCTTTAGTCTTGCCCCTGCCACCGTCCCTGCCCTGACCACTCTGCTCTCTCCGGCAGGTCATGATGATGGGCAGCACCCGCGTGGCCGAGCTGCTGCTGTGCCACGGCGCGGAGCCCAACTGCGCCGACCCTACCACCCTCACCCGACCTGTGCACGACGCGGCCCGGGAGGGTTTCCTGGACACGCTCGTGGTGCTGCACCGAGCCGGCGCGCGGCTGGACGTGCGCGATGCCTGGGGCCGCCTGCCCGTGGACCTGGCTGAGGAGCGGGGCCACCGCGCTGTCGCCGGGTACCTGCGCGCAGCCGCGGGGGGCACCGAAGGTGGTAGCCACACCCTTACGGAAGTTGCGGAAGGTCCCGGCAGGTGAGGTGGCAGATTTAAGAGTTGAAACTCAAGAGAGCTTCTGCAGCCCAGTGCACTCCTTTTTTTCAGAAGAGAACGCTGGCTCCAGGAGAGCAGGGTCTTGGGTCTTGCGTCAGCTCTCGCACTGCCACCCTGTAGGGCAACCCCATTGTCCCAATCGCAACGCCTCGCTCGGGCTGCGGACAAGAAATAGCCTAGATGGATTTCCACACATTAAAGCCCATCCCACAAACCATACCCCTATTCCCGCAAACACTCACCCTCCCCAGAGCTCAAGCCCTAGACTGTGGAACAGCGACGACTCCCGGAGGCTAGAGGTCTAGTGGCCCCTCTTCCTCCAAACTAGCTGGCAGCAGCATCCATTCAGCTACCCTGTTTCCACATTAGCATACATAGGTAGCTGGACCAACCCGGCTATTTCCAAAAGCATTTGAGCATGGCATTGTCTGGAAGAAATCTGTCACCCCCAACTCTACTGCAAATTTTGACTAAATCCGACCCTCTGCTCTATGCGGTGTTGTTTTCCAGAGCTGCCCAAGGGAGAGAGATCTCTCCAACGCTGGCAGTCCGCAGCCAGAGATTTGCTACACTCTCTGAGAAACGGAGACCCTCTCTTAAGCTTTTTCTTCTCTGCGAGAGAGATCGCTGAGAGAGGGAGATGGCCATGTGATCCTTCCTGCCTTCTCCTTCTACAACCACAAAGCCTTCTTCTCTTGCGGTCCCCTTTCTCCACTTCCACTCCTGCCAGGCTGAAGTACCAACTTTACTGATTTTTTTCTGAAGGGAGAACCATATATATAAAATTAACACGTAAATTAACACATAAAATTATATATATATATATATAAAATTAACACGAATATTTCAGGTAAACCATGACTTCGAAGATACTAAGATCTATCCCATTTTGGCTCAGAATTGGGGCACTAGACCCTCTGGGATTTAATGGGGGCTGAGAGGACAGAGGGGAGAGGCTTGCTCTGAGCCCTAGACCAGAGATGCAGCGAGTTTTGAGCCTTCGGTGTGGGAAGTTCGAAGATCTCCTTTAGCCTGCCCACCCTCTCTCTCTCCACGAACTGCCGTTCGCATCCGGACACAGCGCAGGGCGAGGGACCAATCATAGGGCGGGTTGCGCGGAGCAAAAACGGGGAGGAGCTGAAGAGAAGGATTAGATGACTGAATCTGGCCACCAGCAAATAACCCTTTATAAGCAAAACTACGAGATTTGACCCAAGCACACAAGTCCGTCCACTCCTTTCTTCCTCCCCTCCATCCCTCCCTCCTTCTTTCCCTTTATCCTCCTACATAATCAGCTCCATTTTAGATGGGACTTAAAGTGAATGAGAGAAAACAGGAGTCCTGCCCTCATAGAGCTTACATTCTGGGAAACAGACTTTAAGCAATAAACAGCGTATTTTCAGACAGTTTGTGAAACCGATGTGAAGGATAAGAGTGAAGTCTGAATGGGAAGAGGGGCTTAGAGTGGTCAGAGAGCCTGACTGATGAAAAGAGATTAGCTACTGGAGGCAGAAACACTCTGTACACTTTGTACAAGTGCAAAGACTGGCGGTTTAGGACAGAAAGGCCGGCTGGAGCATGCACACAGCGAGATCAGAGAAGAAGGTCAAAGAAAGGATGCTAGGTCGAAACGTGGATTTTGTTCGAGAAACTTTCGAAAGCCATTAGCGGGTTTGGGAGAGAGAGCCTGGGGAGAAACAGGACAGGACTGGAACCGAATGTTCCTATACGCCCAGCCGCTCCGGCGCCTCAGGTGCCCTCAGCTTACGCGCATCGCCCAGTCGCTCTGCGTCAGGTGCAAGAGACGCCTGCAGATACGCGAAGAGCCTGGCGTTGTGTGTGGCATGCCCTCAGCACGCATTATATACCCGGGTTTTCCTGTCGCAAGCCCGCCGGCGGCATGCCTGCGCCCTCCCTGCCCTCGCCTGGCGGGCCTGGAGCTCGGCGAGCCCGAGCAGCCAGCCGAGCAGTGCAGGCGGGATCTGCGGGATTGGGGAGTCGGGCTGCTGACGGGGTCCAGCCTTGACGGAGAGACCCTGTGCCGAGGGGTGGGGATATTGATAAGAGGCCAGCGAAGCCGTCTGAGAACCTTGCTCATAAGTGTCTGAATACCGAGTGGGAGACTATGAGGGGAAGGAGGGATGGGTCGCACACCCTTCATTGCTAGTTTCTAATGAGTTTTTTCTTTCTGCCCTCTGCAGACAGCCCGGACTTAAAGAATGACTGAGATCTAAAGACACCTCAAAATGGTTTGATCTTCAGTCAACAAGTGAATTACCCCACCCCACCCAACTCTTGCCTGCCTTCTAAGTTGCCATTTATCAAATAGCGCTTTTTAACACTGTAGACTGCTTTATATAAATCTGCCTTCACCTTCCCCTAAATTTCCATTTGTATTTCCATTTATACATTGTTATAAAAGGTAAAAAAAAAAAAAAAAAACACTGTTTCTGCCTTTTTATTATTGGGTTGGAGTTTTCTGGAACTTTAGGCCTATGTGGGCACTTCCTCTTTCCAGCTTCGCACCCCCCAGGGTGCTGTTGTTGTTACAGACATTTAATGAACTAAGGATACGAAACTTAAATGGGTTACATGGCCTTTCCTGTGTCATACGGCCATCAAGTGGTAGTGCCAAGGTTCAGTTAAAAAAAAAATGTTCTTTTGTTTACTCATTTGTTCAGTCAACATTTATTGAGCACCTATTATGGCACCTTGCCAGGGGGAGGGAGGAAAAAGACATCAACTCATGAACACACAAACACATGACTAGAAATTTTAACACCAATTTCATTGACTAGAAGGTAGTATTTTTTCCAAAAGATAAATGCATGCCACAGTAAGAGTACACAGTGTGGATTTCAGATGATAAAATGTCAAGACCTGGGTCTTCAGATGGATGAAATGGGGTAAAAAGTGGTGAAGAGAAACTCCATGGAGACCTCAGATTGACAGACTCACGCCTGGCTTTCCATTACTCGTCTGGCGGCAGGAGCTGAGCCTCTCAAGGTTTCGGATATTTTGCCCTAAGCTCCGCAGCAAGCATGTGACAGGGCCAGCAGAGCGTGGTCCACAACCACAGAGCCAGCCTGGGGGGTCCTGACTGAGCTGCCCCCCAACTATGCCCCACCCAGCTTTCTGAAACTCCCCCACAGTGGCTCCAGAGGGCTGTGAAGTAGCTACTGACCACCACCCAAACCAAAAGCAGTTCCAGCTTCTCTACCACAGCAGGGGGAGGAACATGGTTCCAACTTCAGCTGACACACAGAGGCCATGCTGCCTCCTCTGCGGTATGGGTACCATACCTTCATGACTTTTTTTTGAGGTGCAATTCATACAACATAAAATTAACAATTTTGAACTGTATAATTTGGTGGCATTTAATAAACTCACAATGTTGTGCAGCCATCACCATTCATTTAGTTCCAAAACATTTTGATCACCTCCAAAGGAGACCCTACACCTATTAAGCATACCCATTAAATCCTCCCTGTCCCCAGGCCCTGGCCACCACTAATCTTCTTTTGTCTCTATGGATTTACCTATTCTGGACATTCCATATAAGTGGATGCATACAATATGTTGCCTTTTGTGTCTGGCTTCTTTCATTTAGCATAATGTATTTGCTGTTCATCCATGTTGTAGCATGTACCAGGACTTCATTCCTTTTTATGGCTGAGTAGTATTCCATTACTTACTCCATCTCATAATGAATATTTGGGTTGTTTCCACCTTTTAGGTATTGTGACCAGGGCTATATTCATATACAAGCATTTGTTTGAATACTTTTCAATTCTTTGGGGTATATACCTAGGAGTGGAATGGCTGGGTCATGTAATAGTACTCTGTTTAACTTTTTGAGGAACTGTCAAACTGTTTTATACAAGACTACAAATGTTAAGCATCTTTTTGTGTGTTTATTGGTCATTCACATATTTTCTTAGGAGAAATGTCATTCAAATCCTTTGCCCATTTTTAAATTGAGTTTTCTTTTTGTTGTTAAGTTGTAAGAGTTCTTTGTATATTATGGATATTAGACCTTTATCAAACATCTGATTTATAAATATTTTCTCTCATTCTATGTGCCATTTCACTTTCTTGATCGTGTCCTTTGATGCACAAGACTTTAATTTTGGTTGAGTTTGTTTTTCCCTATCATATAAGGTAGGACTCTAACTTCATTCTTTTCCATGTGGATATCCAATTGTCCTTGTAATATGCAAGAGTGGAATAGCTGGGTCATATTATAGTACTCTGTTTAACTTTTTGAGGAACTGTCAAACTATTTTCCACAGTAGCTGCACCATTCAATATTCCCACAACAAAATACAAGGGTTCCAATATCTCCACATCCTCAGTAACACTTGTTATTTTCTGTTAGTTTTTTTTTTTTTTAGAAGCTATCCTAGTGGGTATAAAGTAGTATCTAATTGTGGGTTTGATTTGCATTTTCTTAATGACTACAGATGTTGAGCATCTTTTCATGTGTTTATTGGTCATTTACGTATTTTCTTAGGAGAAATGTCTATTCAAGTCCTTTGCCCATTTTTAAATTGAATTGTTTTTCTTTTTGTTGTTAAGTTGTAAGAGTTCTTTGTATATTATGGATATTAGACCTTTATCAAACATCTGATTTATAAATATTTTCTCTCATTCTATGTGCTGTCATTTCACTTTCTTGATGGTGTCCTTTGATGCACAAGACTTTAATTTTGGTTGAGTTTGTTTTACCCTATTGTATAAGGTAGGACTCTAATTTCATTCTTTTTCATGTGGATATCCAATTGTCCTAGCACCATTTGTTAAAGAGGCTATTCTTTGCCAATTGAATGATCTAGGATCCTTGTCAAAAATCAATTGACTATAGAGGTACTGGTTTATTTCTAGACTCTCAGTTCTATTCCATGAAATATGTCTGTCTTTACATCAGTTCTACACTATTTGATTACTGTAGCTTTGTAGTATGTTTTGAAAATGAGAACTGTGAGTATTCCAACTTTGTTCTTTTTCAAAATTATTTTAATCTGTTTTAAGCTTTTATCTGGGGTCGCTTGCAATTCCATATGCATTTATGGATTAGCGTTCCCATTTCTACCAAAAAAAAAAAAAAAAGGGCCACTGGGATTTTCATGGGGACTGCATTGTATATGTAGATCATTTTGGGCCCTACTGCCACCTTGACAATATTAAATCTTCCAATTCATGAACACAGGATGTCTTTCCATTCATTTAGTCTTTAATTCCAGCAATGTTTCATATTTTCAGCACACAAGTATTGCACATATTTGGTTAAATTTATTCCTATTTTATTCTTTTTGATGCTACTGAAAACTGAATTGTTTCCTTATTTTTTTTTTGGACTGTTCATTGTTAATGTATAGAAATACAACTGATTTTGGAGTGTTGTTCTTTTATCCTGCAGCTTCACTAAAATTGTTTATTAACCCTAATTATTTTTAGTGGATTCTTTAGGATTTTCTACATATAAGATCATGATATCTGCAGAGAAGGATAGTTTTACTTATTTCTTTCCAATATGAATGTCTCATTTCTTTTTTCTTGCCTAATTTCTCAGGTTAAAACTTTCAGGACAATGTTGCTTATAAAACTTTGAATAGAAGAAACAAAAGCAGGCATTCTTTTCTTGTGCTTGATATTAACAGGAAATCTCTATCTTTCACCATTGATTATGATGTTAGCCTATAGTTTTTTCAAAAGTGCCCTTAATCAGACTGAAGAAATTCTGTTCATTCCTACTTTGTTGATTTTTTTTTTATCATGAAAGAGTGTTGGATTTTCTCAAATTCTTTTTCTGCATTGACATGATGGTATGTTTTTTCCTTCATTCTATTAATATATTACATTGATTGACTTTTATATGTCAAACCCCTTGCATTCCTGGGATAAATTTCACTTGATCATGGTGTGTAATTATTTTAACATTCTGTTGGGTTTGGTTTGCAAAGATTTTGTTGAGGATTTTTTTTTCATCTATATTCACAAGGGTATTGGTCTGTAGTTTTCTTTTCTGGTAATGTCTTTGCCCGGTTTTGGTATCAGGGTAATGTTGGCCCCATCAAATGAGTTAGGAAGTGTTCAATATTCTCTTTCTTAGGAGAGCTAGAGAAGGACTGGTGTTAATTTTTTTTAAACATTTGATACAAGTCACTAGTGAAGCCATTTGGTCCTGGACTTTACTTTGTCAGGAGGTTTTTGACGACTGATTCAATCTCTTTACTTGTTATAAGTCTGTTCACATTTCCTTTTTTTTTTTCCTTGAGTCAGTTTTGGTAGTTTGTATGTTTCTAAGGAATTTGTCTATTTTATTTAGGTTTGTTAGCTTACATTGTTCATAGTTTTCTCTTACAATCCCTTTTATTCCTTTAAGGTTGCTAGTGATGTCCCTATTATGCTGTGTTTAAGTCATCTTTTTCTTGATCAAGAGTTCACTTGGTTGCTGTAAACCTGTGACTACTTTCTAGAGTTCCCACAAAGTCAATTCTGACGCTAATCTTTTTGGTGTTTCTGTTTAGGGATGGGCTCTTGGAGCTTCCAACCCTGCTATTTGCACTGATGTCACTTCTGTTTTTTTGTTTTCTATTAGAGTATAATGGCCAACTGCCTCTGATGCGCCAAGTTCCTTCCCCCATACATCCCGCCTGACTGGGATTCAGTGCCCCACTACTGGCCTTCCCACCATCTGCGTATCTGTCCCCCACCATTTCTCTGAATATATCTAGCTCTGATACTAAGCTATGTCCCTTCAAATGTTTTCCACCTTCCCTCCTCCTCCTCCCGCTCCTCCGGTTTGTAGGAGCTCACTCTTCTTTGCTCAACTTTCCTGAGCGCGCGCGCACCCCCCTCCCCCGCCCCAGAGTCACTCTCTTACCCTTGGCCAGCAGGCTCCGCTGTAGCGTGGGCGCCTCCGGAACAGCACTGGCGCCTACTCGGAAGCCCCGGGGCCTCAGGCCAGGCGGCGCTTCCCTCCGAGGCCCGACGCTGCCCGGAGCTCGCGATGGCTCCACGTGCGCGTCTCCCCGCACGCCGAGCGCGCGCACGCCCGCGCGCCCACGCCCGCGCCTTCGCGGAGGGACCTGGGAGTGAAACGCAG